AAGTTTGTAGCGGAGTTTACTCTTATTTGAATAAAAATTAACTTTTGTCTCCATTCTTGAGCTTGCCTTCATTGCTTATATTCTTTTAGCTTTGTAGCTTTGCTCTCGTCTGAGGTGTTGGTTGAAGTGAGTTAGTTGTAATATGTTGACCCGTGCTGGGGACTTATGACAACTACTTCACCTGACGTCTTATTTTGGCAGAGCGTTTAATTGACCAGAACTTGACATATGACTGCTGAAGTTTTTAGATCAATTAAGTATTGGACCTACACTTAATACTCATACATAAGGCTTATGAATACCTTTTTGGCAGAATGATAATCCTGAGGTTGGATGCCTAGGTCTTACGTAGGTGCCTAAGTCTTCATAATTCTAGTATGGTTAAGTGGTGACTGTGGGAGTCAACCATATGGTTGTGTCTTGGGTTTATTCCTGATGAGGTACCAATGGCTTGTTATTCGACTAAGGAGTCGTTGTGCCTTGGGTTTACCCTAAAAAGGAACCAAGGACTTAAAATTCGACTGAGAAGTCGAATACCTAGAACTCTTGAGAGTTGACTAGGGCTTTCCTTCCCCTAAGAACGAGAGAAAACTATGAGAGTCGGACAAAGGGTTGTGCCTTAGGTTTATTCCTGATAAGGTACCAAGGGTATGTCCATGATGACCGATGAGAGTCGGGGGAATCGACCATATGTTGTGCCTTGGATTTACCTTGATAGAGTACCAAGGTCTTGTTATTCAACTGAGGAGTCGTTGTGCTTTAGGTTTACCCTGAAAATGTACCAAGGGCTTAAAATTTGACTGAGGAGTCGAATGCGTAGAACTTTTGAGAGTTGATTAGCGTTTTCCTTCCCCTAAGGCCTAGAGAAAACTGTGGGAGTCAGCCAAAGGGTTGTGCCTTGAGTTTATTCCAGATAAGGTACCAATGGCTTGTTAGGGGTGTCTAGGTCTTACATGATGTCTAGGTCTTTGGCCATAGTGAAGCCTTGATCCCTGCGAGATCAGAGTTAATTCATACTGAATAATATTTTATTAGTTCTGTATTTTACATCATCATGAAAAATATCCTTTGCAGGCGTCTGATGCTCAAAGGGGGTAAAACCACTTGTGATCTTGCTTAGGCTCTGCTTCAAAGGTAATTTTATAGTGGATGAGGCT